CTTCCCACGTACCGACAAGGACAGGAAAGGTTCAGTAGATTATTTGCACTAAATGAATGGTTAATGTCATTGTGTAATGAACAAAAACTGCTCTTTGTAAATAATTGGAATCTGTTCTGGGAGCGACCTAGGCTCTACCGTGCTGATGGCCTGCACCCCAGCAGAATCGGAGCGGCTGTTCTGTCGGACAACATCTCCAAGACGTTACACACCGTATGACTAGAAAATCAAATTCCAAATCACAGTCTTTGCTGTGCCAATTTAATTGATATAAGTAGTGTAGAACATTATATAGAAACTGTGTCTATTCCTCGTTTAGTGAGGCCAAATAATAAATCCACTGTAGGATCTAGGAAAAATCTTATTGTAATTAAACCTGAAAATCTAAATATCAGTGAACAAAAACAATTTCTAAAACTAGGTCTTCTAAACATTAGATCGCTCACACCTAAGGCGGTTATTGTAAATGAAATGGTCACAGATAATAGCTTCGATGTACTTTGCCTTACTGAAACCTGGCTTAAACCAAACGAGTATTTCGGTCTAAATGAGTCTACCCCGCCAGGATACTGTTATAAACATGAGCCCCGTCTGATCGGTCGTGGCGGCGGTGTTGCAACAATCTATAGAGATATTATTAATGTTACTCAGAAAACAGGTCACAGGTTTAACTCGTTTGAAGTACTTGTGCTAAACGTTACGCTCTTAGATGTAAGAAATAAATCCCTATTATATCTAGCCTTGGCTACTGTATATAGACCTCCAGGACCATATGCTGATTTCCTAAAAGAGTTTGCAGACTTTCTCTCAGATCTATTGGTCAATGCCGATAAAGCAATAATTGTTGGAGATTTTAACATACACGTAGATAACACAAACGATGCGTTAGGGACTGCGTTTACAGATTTATTAAACTCCTTTGGGGTCAAGCAGAATGTCAGTGGTCCCACTCATCGTCTAAATCATACACTAGATTTAATTATATCGTATGGAACCAATCTAACCGATATAGATATTATACCGCAAAGTGACGATCTCACCGATCATCACATGGTAACTTGTATAATACGCACTGCTGAAATTTGTCATGTTGCGCCACGTTATAGACCAGGCAGAACAATCCTTCCGACCACTATAGATAGATTCTCAAATAGCTTACCTGATCTATCTCAGCTGCTCAGTGAACCCAAACAAACAGATGAACTAGAGGAAATGACTAGCAGTTTGAGCACCATTTTCTCTAGTACATTAGATATTGTTGCACCAATTAGATCAAAAAAGGTTATAGAGAAAACTAAAGCGCCATGGTACAACAGTGCTACGCATGCTATCAAGAGAGAAACTCGTAACCTACAGCGTAAATGGAAACAAACTAATTTAGAGGTCTTTAGAATCGCGTGGAAAGACAGTATGTCACGTTATAAAAAAGCTCTAAAAGCAGCCAGGGCTGAGCATCTCCGCAAACTAATAGAAAATAACCAAAATAATCCAAGGTTTTTATTTAACACCGTGGCTAGACTAACAAATAAACAGACATCACCCGAGCAAATTATTCCGTTACAGTATAGCTGTAATGATTTTATGAACTACTTCAATGAGAAAATAGAAAGCATCCGAAACACAATTGTAAATGTACAATCCTCTATGGTGTCTTATGATTCAGCCACAATTATCGCCCCTCAAGAACAACTACACCGCTTTACAACTATAGGACAGGAAGAGCTAAATAAACTTATCATTGCATCTAAACCAACAACATGTTTATTAGATCCAATACTGTAGACTTGGAATTAAGCCTTTTCCCCGTTATTATTTGATTCACGGGACCAGACACCAGTTATCTTGCCAAGAAAGATTTTTATTCTTATATGTCAGGAGAGAAACTCTGAGAAGATGTTATATTCATGCCAGGTCTATGCGTTTCGTGTTTCTCCTTCCTCTCACCCAGTCATGCCTCCATGTTTCTCTGCTGTAGTACAGTAAGATTGAGTTTTTATACATCACAGAGAGTCTTACAGCTTCCTTGTAAGGTAACAAAACATATTGCTTATGCTTAAAATGAAATGTATATGCACATGGTACAATCCACTTTCCACATTAAGAAACTATTTCTCAGTGTATACATTAGTGGTATACAAATGGTACATTTGCATCAGTTGAAACATTCATTTTCTTGCAAAGAGCATACCAACTGTACACATTTGAAGTATATTCATCATTGGAACTCTCTGCTAAGTGAACATTACATACCTCTAAGCAGAATACATAATCCTCCCAGCTACCCTCCTTGTGTCTAAAATATGTTCCTTAAACACATGTGTCCATGCAATCTATAGTCTACTCATGCATTTTAAACTTCATAAGATAATACAACTTATTATGAATACTAAATAAAGAATAATAATACAGATACATAATATTAATTAATGAAATTATATTCAAAGATGAAATTTTAGTCTTCATCTCCCTCCACTGGAACTACGGCCGTCAGTTCCACACCATCATCCCCAGGTGGCCAACCTATTGAAGTGATAGTGAGGAGAAGAAATAGCAGACCAAGAAATAGACAAAGGATAGAAGAATAGAAACAGAAAGGAAAACGAAAAACCCAACCCATGTTATGTCCCCGCATGCTATGTGTAATTTAACGTCTATGTGTAAGCATTTAAAATAAACCCCAATCATCTAAGAAAAGAAAAACTAATAAATCTTCTGCCCGTGCCTGAACTCGTTAAGTAATTAACTCCTTCAGTTCCGTGCTAAAATAATAAACAAAAATAAATGTTGATGTTAAAGGATCCTATCCCTTAGGGTTGTAAATCAGTAAGCGGGTGTTCATTGTTTGTGAGGTTGTGTTTCGTAGTGTAGAATGTGTAAAATCTCCTATTTCACTCCGTATATCCCATTCTCGGTTCTATCCTTTTGGTTAATAATATTCAACTTAACAGGCTTGGTACTCTTCCTTCTAGTAACACATATGATGAGTTGTATTGTTAACAGAAACAGCAAAACACCTACCATAGTCAAAACTATCCATTCCGACCATGATAGATTTCCCGGAATTTGTGTTAATTTTCTCTCAGACATCAATTTAGCTATTCCGTTTGCTACGATAACATGACCCATTGCTTGAATTCCCTCCTCTTGAGCTGCTTTAACACTCTTTTTAACTCTTCTAACCATTTCAAAGAGTTCATAATTCCTTTCTTCTACTAAATCATTATTCCACCATTGTGGCTCTAACTGCAACAATTGCACATGTGGAACATGAATTCCACCCAAGTGAAGAGGATAGAGAATCTCAAGACAAAATGGATCAGGAGGAATTGGACACAACTTCCCTCCGTATATCATATTTTCACTTTTCCCATCATGTAATATGCACCACTGTGCTTCTGACACCTGCCATGCACCTGTGGCTTGATCTAAAGGAACTACTTCCCAAACTGCAGAACCATTAAGAGATAGACTAAACATTGTAGAGCATGAGCAAATTACCCACTCATGTTCCTCAACACAACAGTCTGTGGTAGAAATCATCGGCATTTCACCTTCAGCCCAATATCCATTCCTTCCTAATCTAATTACTGAATTTCCTTGTCTAACACCCATTGATTGGAATCGCCTAACTGTCATAATATTGCGCTTCCCATATTGAGGCCATATCATAGTCAAAGGTAATGTTCCAGAACCTGACAACGAATTCTCATTAATGCCAATTTTAACTAACGGGACATGTTTAGCAGAAGTCAAATTAAGTTGATTACCGAAAACCATTAACAAAGATTCCGCTATCCGTTCAGGAACTTGACCCATTCGAATAACCTGAATATCCTCTACCATTTGATCCTTTAAATTCTGGGCTAAAAATAAACACGCCGCACGATGCGTCTCAAAATCAGACGATTTTGTTAATGCATCTGCCAATTCCTTTGCAGCATTATTAAGATGCTGACCCGCTGCTATAATATGTAGAGTACCTTGAAGGGCCTTAGTGAGTCCTTTCCCACTCATTGTTCCCACCCACTGAGTGTACTCACTTAGTTGATTAATTTGAGCGGTATTGCTAATTGAATTAACAGAACCAAACACCCCCGCTATGTCTCCCCATATACTTCGAGGTTTACGATTTTTACTACTCAGAGGATCTCCAGAGGTATAATATTTAACTTCTTTTTCCAACCAACCCCTTATTTGTGTGAAATTTCCACAATAAGACTGATCAAAAACAGTAAGAAGGGATTTCAAGTTATAATTTATGCGTTGCCGCACCATGTGGGCTTCATTTATCAAGGTTTTGGTTTCTTTTGCTAACAAAATACCATGAGCTGGTGCAATAGTTGTATTTGGGCATGTTTTAGCTTTGTTTGTCTTTTCCGCAGAAAGATAAAAACACCTTCCAATTTCCCCAGTTTCTAGTTCAGTCTCACAATATTCATTCTCATCTTCTGAATGCCATACTCGTACATAATTTCCCTTGAATCTTGTTGTCCCCGAGGAAGTATCCCTTAGAAACCCTTCACATGGCAACACTATGGGATAAATACACCCTTGGGCCAACGAATCCCATATTGTAAGCATGTGAGTACGATTCAGAATGAAATTAATTTCCACATTAGTAGACGTTATGAGATCTAACCCCACAACTTCACATTGTCCTTTTGAACAAATTTCTCGTCTTTGAGCACTACCAGAATACCCCCCGTCTTTCACAGGCCAAATTACTCTGCTTTTGTAACATTGATGATAAAAGTTACATCCTCCAAAGATGTCCTCACGATATTTAGCAAGATCTTTATCATTACGTGGCACCCAATCCCATAATCCCCATTTGGAAATAAAGGGTAGATTAAAATGTTGGCCAGATTTCAGAGTAGCATTCCGATTGATTTCTTGAACTCGAGGAGTCCATAAAGCTTGGCTTCCTTGGTAAATGCCAAGTAAAATTAAAAATAAGCATACCATTGTCGTTGGGTATCGAGAATAACTTGCAACCATCTCTAATCAATGTCAATGGAATTGATTCCTGAAATGGAAGCAGAGAAATAATTAAACATCACTTCTTTGTTCCCAATCTTTAAAGCTAATGGATGAACAGTGCTCAATATCAGGCCATAAGCCGTCATTATCATTTTGTTCATTCACTAAGCAAGGTTTAACTTGTGACCAATGATACCATCTGTCTGTTCCTACACCCTTCCCTTTAAGACAAACACTTGTGTCAGTAGTTAGGAGTATCTCGTATGGTCCTTCCCATCTAGGCTCTAAACCTTTCCTAGCAATTCGTTTGATCATAACAAAACTGCCTAACTCGGGAATGTGTGGAATGTCAGTAGTGGTGTGTTTTTCATCCCATTGCTGTTGAGCTTCTCGCACTTTCTTATTATTGTCTTTAGTAGCTTTGTCCAGCATTGCGAGATAGCGTCGTAACTTTTCTTGGAACAAAGTAGAGTCTCCTCCTGTTCCCGCAGGTGGCGGAGCATCAGGAGGTAGAACCATTGCTCTTCCAGTCATTAGTTCAAAAGGGGTTAGTCCTGTAACTCGGTTTGGAGTTGCTCTCAAGTTCCACAGAATAGCAGGTAATAACTTATGCCAACCTTGACCAGTTTGCAGAATGGCTTTGGTAAGTGCGGTTTTCAATGATCGATTCATTCTCTCTACCATGCCCGAGCTTTCTGGCCTATAGGGAATGTGGAATTTCTGTTTAATTCCCATCAATTTCATTGCTTCCTTCATCAATTTTCCAGTGAAATGAGTTCCATTGTCAGAATCAAGTTCATATGGAAGACCCCAGCGAGGAAAAACTTCTTCCACCATTACTCGTGCTGCCGCTTCAGCAGTGCAAGTTTTTGTAGGGAATGCTTCCACCCATCTAGTAAATCTGTCCATGATTACAAGTATGTATTGATACCCTCCACTGGGTGATAAAGGTCCTGTGAAATCGATTTGGAGATGTGTCCATGGACCTGTTGGTCTGGGTGCATGTGACATTCGCACCTTTACAGATTTTCCCACATTTGCTTTCATGCAGATCAAGCATCTCCTACAGTAATCATCAATGTCTCTCATCATTCGTGGCCACCACCAAGTCTCGCTGATTTGAGCTTTCATTGCTTTTGCTCCAGCATGCACTTTTCCATGATACAGCTGCATCAGTTCTCTTCTTGTTCCGATAGGCATCACCACTTGTCCTGTTGGAATTCTCCAGATACCTTGATCATCTTCTTTCGCTCCTGCTTTTATCCATTGCTCTTTCTCTTCATCTGTCTCCATTTGATATGACAGAAGATGTAGCTCAGGATTATCTTTGCTGTTTTCCTTTACCAAGGTAACAGGAGTAAGAGGAAGTAGAGCTGCTTCTCTAGCTGCTGCATCTGCTGCCGTGTTTCCTTGACTTTCTTTGGACTTGTCAGATTGATGTGATTTTACTTTGATCACGGCTGCTTCTCTGGGTAAGTGACATGCTGTAATCAAACGGCGAATTATGGAAGCATGTTGTATTTCGCTCCCACTGCTGGTGATAAGTCCACGTCTTTTCCACAGAGCTAGGTAGTCATGGACCACCCCAAAAGCATAACGACTATCTGTATAGATGTTAACTCGATCTCCTTCCGATAGTTCAAAAGCTTCCGTAAGTGCTATGAGCTCAGCTACTTGTGCTGAAAATTGCCCAGAAAGAGCTCCTTTCTTCACAACAGTTCCATCAGCTTCCACTACAGCCCACCCAGTATGTCGTTTTCCATCAACATAATAACTGGATCCATCGACCCATAACTCTTTATCTGGATTTTCAAGAGCGATTGGATTAACAGGACCAAGACTTTCCTCTTCAACTAGTTTTTCACACTCGTGTGGTGTTCCCTCATGTGGTTCCAGCATCATTGTTGCAGGGTTAAGAGAAATGTCTCTGATGATTTCCACTCTCAAATCCTTGTTTAACAAAGTTGCTTCCCATTTTGCTCTCCTCGCGTCAGTTATGGTCTTGATGTTTGTATTGTTCAACAACGTCACTATGCTGTGTGGAGTGTGCAGTATGATAGTCTGTGCTCCTATCAGATTTCCAACAGCATCCACTGCCCATGTGGCACCATCGAGGGCTTGTATACATCGTGGTTGACCAATCATTGTAACAGGAATCTTTGTGGAAAAGTATCCAACTGGCCTGTATCGATCACCTGGTTTTTGACACAGTACTGCTGAGTAGGACTCGTCTCCCACCCTGGTCCACAAATGAAATGGCAATCGTCCATCAGGAAGTCCCAAGGCTGGAGCTGAAGTCAGTTTCTCTTTCATAGAAGTAAACGCTTCCTCAGCTTCCGGTGTCCAGTTTATCTGTTCCACTCCAGGCTTTCCTCCCTTGTACAAGTCGATGAGGGGGCTAGTGATGCTGGCAAAATCAGGAATATACTGACGACAATAGTTGAAAAGTCCCATCACCTTCCGCATTCCTGTAACTGTTAGAGGTTTTGGGAGTTGCTGTAATGCCTCTACACGCTCTGTTGTCATTCTCCTTCCCTCGACAGATATTTCTTGGCCCAAGTAGATAACCTTGGTTTTGGCCAGCTGTGCTTTGTCAGGGTTGACTTTGAATCCTCCTTTCCTAAGGGCTTGTAGGACAACATTCAGAGCAAATATATGGCTGTTTTCATCTGGGCTTGCAATCAACAAGTCATCAACATATTGGAGGCAAACACTTCCTGAACTCTCAATCTCAGCTTTTTGCTCCATTAAGAACTGATCCAAAGTTCTATGAAATACAACAGGGGAAAGATTAAGACCTTGTGGGAGTCTGTTCCAAACATACTGTTTTGCGCCTACTGTGAAGGCTAATTTCTCTTGAGATTTTTCATCAATAGGTATAGACCAGAAAGCTGACAGTACATCTAGTACCGTGAAAATTCTTGCATTTCCTGGAATATCATTCAGAATGGTGGCAGGATTGGCCACAATAGGATGCGGTTTTGGTGTTACACTGTTAAGTCTTGTGTAATCAATGGTTAATCTCCATGAGTTATCCGATTTCCTGACAGGCCAGACAGGACTATTAGTGGTAGATGAAGTTTGTCTGATGATTCCTTCAGCTTCCAAGTCTGCCACTATCTCTTCCACGGCTTGTCTTGCTTCAGGTCGGATAGGGTATTGTTTATGAGGGGCATGTATCGGTCCCTCAATAACAACGGGGTCAATGTTGGCTTTGCCACAATCCAATTTGTGTTTAGCCCAAACATCTGAATATAAACTGCACAGAAGACCCCACACACCATCTTTTCCCCAATTTCTGATGATTGGTTTTGCTGTACCAACAGAACTTAAATTACATGTGCGGTCTTCGTGTGGTATTATCCCAGCTGTTGTAGCGATTTGACGACTGTCAGTGAATATGATCATGTTCAACAATGGAAGAATGTCCATGCCAATAAGGTTTCCTTGTGAATTCGGCCCAACCCAGAAAGATGTCCATAAGACTTCATCTTCATGTATTTGCAGTGGAACTTGAATACTTTTGCGAAATTTTGTGATACCTCCTCCAACTCCTTCAACTTCCATAGTTTCATCTGTTGTAGGTAGGTTCAGATCTGTTATTGAAATGGCTGCTCCTGTGTCAACAAGGATGTCACATGGGTGGCCCCCTATTAATGCATTGACGAAAAGGCGATTGTCTCTTTTCTTACTAATACAGGGGGCCGCTGATTCCTATTGCGGACGCATAATTCCCTCAATGAGCTGACGGACTTGTGCTTCAGTCCATGTCTTCCCTTGAGTGGTTTCTTCATGGTTTTTCGCACTGACCTGTCTAAATGATGGACCTTGACCTTCTGCTCCACCTCCTTTAGCCCAACAATCTATTTTGGAGTGTCCACGCTTTCCACAGTTGCTGCAGAAAATCACCCTATTCTTTGTGTCCTTGTTGTATTGAGCTGTTGCCACTCCTCTTCGATATGGCTTGTTTCCTTCTTCTTTATTTGATCTCATAGCCATCTCTAAGCGGCCAGCCCATTGCATAATTTGGTCAAATGTTTCACCTGGATTGACTCCAAGTGATAAGGCATGTTGGTATTTTGTGCTGAAACCATCGACAAGTGTGTCAGTGAACTGTACATCATCTCTGTCAGGTTGTTTCTTAGCACAGAGGGCCCATCTTTCATAAGCATTCCACTTACGCAGAGCATATTCATCTGGAGATTCATCATCCTTTTGCTTAATCAATGTCACTGATGTGAATGGAATTTTACCACTTCCCAAGATTTCTTGGATTACTTTTCGGAACTCATCTAATGCTTGCCAAAGACCCAGGTGTCTTCCCTGGCCGTCGACCCACAAGTCTACCCACTGGGCTGTTGTTATCGATGCTGGCAAGCGTTCCCATCGGTCTCTTGGGATTTTAGCTTTCACAATGGTGTGTATATCTCTTAATGTCATTTGATGTGCTTCAACTAATGAGTCCAATTCTCGCCAAAACTCTGTGTTTGGATCTTGTCTCTTCAGAGGAGGCAAGGCTGTGAGAATGGCTTGACGTTCTCCTGGTGTGAATGGTCTTTCTTCTGTCATCATTTCAGATTCTTCCCTTTTAATCGCAGGTGAAGAAAATTCAGGACCGATCTTATCAACTGTGATCATGTCGTCATCTTTTGTCTCATCGCCCCAGTCAGAATCATAATTCCGAGCTGGTGTACATCGCAGCATGTCTCTGTTTGGCTGAACTGTTTTAGATCTTGTTATTACCGGAGCTGCTTGTGCAGATGCAATATACATTTTGTCAACTGGACCTCCATTTGATCTCGAAGCTTGAGGCTGTGTCAGAGGTTTAGATGAACTTGTACATTGTTCAGGCAAAGTTGGATAAATTGGGTTGTAAGGAGGAGGCGTTACAGTTGTTGCGGATTTCACTGGTGGTTGTGAGTATTTTCTTTCAGCTTCAGTTATTATATTTGTCCAATCTGGATCAAATAAATCTTCACTGGTTGTATTTGCTTCATCTGAACATTTAATAGACATGATTTTGTTCAATTTGGTATATGCTTCAATTTGAGGCTTCATTGCTTCAGCAAGTGGAACTGGACCACCATTCATATCGCAAAAAATTCCACCTTGTTTCACAATCCAATGAGCCGCCAGTATTGGGAATGCTTTTGATTTGATCTTGTCTTTTTGGGACTCGAACCAGCTTAACTGCTCATCCATAGATGCATTGATATCCAGACCTTTTTTCAAAAGTTTAGCTTGTTTCTTCCTCTTCCTTTCCAGGTACCAAGAAGATATTGTTCTGCTGTTACAGACACTTTCTCCCATGTTTCAAAGAATTTGTCACTCTGTGTCTCTGTGCTCAGAACAGCAGGGCTATGTGTGTGTGCGTATATGTGTGTGTGTGTGTGTATGTATATAGAGTGAATTCCAAAGGGAGGGGCTGCTTCTCTCTCTCTCTCTTCTCTAAGCCCTATAAGAACTCAGGGAAAAGAAAATTTTAAAGAAAGATTAAAAACAAGTTATCCCTTATATTTTAGTTATCTATTCTTTTTTCTTTTTAATTTACTTAGTTCAACTCAGATACATTTTTTCTTCTTTCTTTTTTTCCTAGTTTATCTCAGATTAATTTCTTTGTTTTTCTTTTTCCTTTAAGTTTAACTCAGATAAGTTTATTCTTTCTTTTTCCTCTAGTTTATCTTAGATTAATTTCTTTGTTTTTTCTTTTTTCTTTAAGTTGAACTCAGATCAGTATCCTCAAACATTTGAACAGTTTTATGGTCAAAATCAGAATGCCCGCGATTCTAGCTCTTTTTTTTTTCATTGATACCCTTCTTCTAAGGGTTCAATCCTCTGCGTATTTAAACGTTTTAGGGTTTTCTTCGTATCTTCTATATACTGCACTGCACTAACTCAGAGCACAGACCCGCCACTTTAAACCGCTATAAATCACTGCTTGTTACACTTTCCTCGTCTCCTTCTGAGAACGAATCTTCTGTGTGTTGGATGCTTTAGGGTTCATTCTGCCATCTTTTTAGACAGTCCCGCCACAATCCAACCACGTCGCAGTTGTAAACAAGCAAATTTGCCTAGCTTAACCTCTTAACCTTCTCCAGAGCGTCGGCGCACTGAAGCGTTTTTTTATTTATTTAGTTCAAATATACTATCAGATTTAATGTTACACCTTGACAAACTATACATCATTAAAAAGATATAAGACTCAAGATTCAGTATTTGACCACTATTGTATTCTGAGAAACTTATAGTGACAGTTATGTCTTAATTTGTGTCAGGAGTTATGAAATGAAAAAAATGAGTCGATACCTTTAATATGAATTATGAGCGTCAGCTGGTCCATTCATAAAAAACACTCCGTGCTGTCGTCATGACAGCGATTCACAAAACAACGTCCCTGAGGGCTTTTAGCTCAACAATGTACAGATGTGGAGAAATATTGATATATTCTCATAGATTCACATCATATTTCTATAGACAGGAATAATATTTATTGAATTTATACCCAAATGCGTCGATGTAATCATAATGATCGCTTCTTACTGAGATGTGCTGTGTTTTCCATTCATACCAATAGCATGGGGGCGCTATTATGTCCAATAAAAGTCCATATATGGATCATGAAGAAGACCCATAGTCATGTGACATTCCAGGACGTCACTGAGTGATACAGAAAGTACAGAGATCGCTGTAACATGCAGATAAAGATGTTTTGAAGACAATAAACATGATTGCAATGATATTTGAGTTACCTGTGTTCTTCAAGCCATGCCAGGTATTTCATAATAATAGATTATATTTATAATGTAATGCTAATCGATATAGATTTCATCATCGTTCAGAACACTAAATAATACATTTTCTGTCTGATTTTTTTTTTATCTGAAGCCAAGTTAGATCACAGAAGATTATTTAAAACACTAGACTTGCGTTATATAGTGAGTTTGGAGCGCAAACATAGTTTTAATCTCATAAATGGTTGTGTATTGATGGTGTGCTAAGCTAACATGCTAGCGAGCCCAGGCGCACCTGCCACGAGCAGTTATTGTTTTATGATTTTTTTTCTAAATAGGAATGCTTACTGAAATGTTTCAGTGCATTTGATACCAGTTTCAAATATTTAGTGAGAACTTTGATAAAAGAAATTAGGGTTTGAAACCCTATGAATAGCTTGTGAATAGCCAGTCGTTAGTAGCTATAATGCAGACAAAAGAAATGCATATTTAGAGCCATAATAACCAGTCTGGAGAGGTGTAAATGTGTGCAGGGGAGACTGAGACTGAATGGGGCACCACAAAACAATAGAGACAATAGACTGAATAGATGACTCAGAAGATGACTAAACATCAGTTTGCTAATAGAGTCTAATCAAAATAAAGTAATTTGACATGATCTTGAAAAACATTTAACTAAATACAGAGCTTTATACTTATCATTTTCAGATTTTAAATATAAAATGGTCAGACATGTGGCTTTAGCTGCAGTGCATTTCTAGATTGCTCCAGGGCCAACTTCAATTTTATTTTCATGAAGATGTTTCATAAAAATAAATTTCTAATAACTTTACAAAACTTTGAAGCTATTTAAAATTGTTTTTTTTCATTATGACAATAATTAATTCTACATTTACAATAAACAACCAGGTGTCAGCTTTCAAATGAGATCATACTTGTGCTTTTAGTGCAAAGGGTTCATGAACTGTATCTGTTTTAGTTTGGGTATGTCATTTCTGGGGATTTTTCAAAAGTGGGCTTGAAGCTTAACAGGTTAACC